CATACACACACACTTCCACACACACACACACACACACACACACACACACACACACACACACCCATAGACTACCACACACACGCGCTTGAACATACCAGCCAAGCTCCCAATCAACAGAGGACGACGACCGACTTTCTCCACAAGATATAGCCCTATGAAGGAGGCCAAGAAATTGATGGCATTGGGCACCGTCACTAGCCAAATAGCTGACTTGACTGGGAAGCCGGCCATTTTCAGAACTGTACCGCTGTAGTATCTGTGGGGATTATGTTAATGGTGATTATTGCTATTAATACTGTTGCTTGGAGAGCAGCAACAAAACAACATGATTATTTTCATAATGAGCATCATTATTGTTTTGTTATTAGAAGATAATAATAAAACGAAGAGTTAGAATTTTCGGGGAATAATGAAAAAAAACCAAAATTAAATATAATATGTTTAATGTTTTATTCCTTTCGGCTTCATCAGGAAGCTTATTAGGAATTGGGAAAATTGATCATCATCATCATCATCATCATCATCATCATCATCATCATCATCATCATCATCCTCATCATCATCATCATCATCATCATGGTCATCATCATCATCATCATCATCATTTAACCTTTCAATTTATTCCTCTTTCTATAATCCAAAACCTTTCCTACCCTCTTCCTCATCGACAACTTTGTCGGTGTCGTCTTTCTCCTCCCTCCTGTCTACCTTCTTCTCCTCATCCTCCTCTAATAAAAAGGGCAGAAAATTACACAGCAATACTTTTTTAAAGACTCGGAGCGTCCAATTATAATACGGAAAGAACCCTGCAAGTCGACACTTTGAATACCCATAGCACTTACATGACAGTGTTGATACCACACCATTGCTGGAAGAACAGGAGCGCGCTGCCCACAAATAAAGCTCGTCGCACTTGTTGGGTCTTTAGAATCTTCAGGATGTGTTGGATCCCGCCTGTGGTATATGAAATGTGACTAAATAGTAAGGTTTCATTGACAGAATTTAAAACAATAAAGAGACAGGCTGCTTTGACCCTGCCAGTCTGGGTCAAGCCTACAGACCGAGTTGAGTGGGACACAGCATCCCAGAAGATGGACAAAGGCATTTATTAAAATGGATCCCACATTTAGGGATCGAACTAATACTTAACAAATGTCGGAAAATAAAATGAGTTTGTGAATAAAATTACCTTGATATGTATGTAACAGTCACGGAGTAAGTGAGGGAATGTATGAGAGAGGACAAAAAAGGAGCAAGAGAGGCATAGGGAAGGGAGAGAAAAAGAGCGAGAGCGAGAGCGAGAGAGCGAGAGTGAGCCATAGATAGATAGATAGATAGATAGATAGATAGATAGATAGATAGATAGATAGATA